TTTAGAATTTTTTAGAAAAAAAGATCTGAAAGAATGTGGAAAGAATTTTTAATGAATTATTAAATTATCAATAGAATTGATTGAAGAAAATTTAATATCGAGTCGCAAAGCTCTCGATACAAATCGCTCCAGTTTAACAGCTTCACACGTTTTCAACCGTGCACAGAGCAGAAAATAGAAGGACTCGTGCAAAGGTCGTGCAAACAGGATAGCGAGAAGAAGGCCACGGAAGGAGGAGAGAGAGAGAGTGAGGGGGGAGGGGAGGAGATCGAGGTGGCTCGAGAAGAAGGACGTTGGTGGAAAGACGAGAAGGGGACGTGTACAGTTACCAAAGGCCGCGTCGAGCAGCACCACCTCTTACGATGAAGTATCGACTTTGAAAAGTCGGACAGAGATCGTTTCCCTCTTTTAGTAGGAATCGGTCGATCGCTTCCGGCTATGTTTCGGACCAACCTTTCGTGGGAATGAGCGGATGATTCTTGGAAAAAAAAAACACGGATTCTTTACCAGCGATTTTTATCTCTCAAGCGTACGAAACGATCGTCCGTAGGCGAAGACGCTATAGTTGAAGGTCGAGACATTCTCATACTTTTACTAGTATTGCGCCTTGTATTGGAAACTTGCCAAGATATGCATATCGTTGTATTTGTATTTCTCGTGATAAAACGTGTGACAATGATGAATCTAAAAGTTTTGAATAATAGTCAAAGAAAATTTAAATAGTCAAGAAAGTGTTTTTTAAAAAATATAAATTGCGAATGAAGAAGAATTGGAGAAAAACGAAGGGATATTTTGAACTCACGTTGAATTAACCTTTAATTGCATCATCTTTTATTGTTGTAATGCATCACGTGTAACACAACAAGAATCACGCAATCGTTCAATGGACAACTGTATTCTTACTCGTCGTAAGAAAGCCGTGGGATAAAACGGTTTGCTTGCACAAACATCTTCTCTCTTTCTTTTCAACCAGAGTTGGTTACAGGTCTGGGAAAACTCCCGTGAACTATATGAAACATGGGTGTTGCCAGTTAGTTAACCTACTTCTCACGACGCATGCCTGTTGCAGGCAAAAACCTTTTAAGGCGATCGACTCTAATATCGCCAGACCTGTTGTCGAGTGCTTCGCAGCTTTCAACTTTACAAGACTTTACCGTGTTACGTAGAATTTATTTATCTATCAATATATAATTTTCTAACGTAAATCTTATATTCGCATTATACACATTATTATAACGATAATCACAATGGTTATTGTCAAAAGATAAAAAAAAAATATTCAAAAGATTGTATATATTAATCGTTTATCGAAACATATGTTGCAATACGCAACGAGAAGTCTGCCAATCGTGAAAATTGATAAAACGAAACGCGAAAGATGAATAGTCCGTAATGCAACGTTTGCACGATCGAAAGAGGAACGTTATTTATTGACGTGGCCAATAAATTATCCAATTAGAGCGGATCGTTTCGGCAGCCTTCCTCAAACCCTTTCTCCGTGTTCGACACTTTCGTGCAATTCATACACCGCACGCCCCTTGCCCTTCTCTCTCTCTCTCTCTCTCTCTCTTTCTTCTTTTTTTTTATTTGATTTTCGATTTTGCACGCACCGTGCGCCAAATCTTTCGTGTAATTCCCGATATTTCCGTGGCCCGATCGAACATGTGTCTGACACGGTGTCGATTTCACGGCGTTCTTTTATCGGCGAGACGGCACGAATTTTTCAAAGTGTGAAAAGGGTTGGTCGAAGCCCTTTCGCGATGGAGGGTAGGCGCTTTGAGGGTCGACGATCGTTTAAAAAAAAAAACAAGATTTCGTTCATAATTTTTTGATGAAAATAATAATAATAATTCCGTTCCAAGAATTTTTGAAAACGTTTTATTTTATCTTTTTATTATGAAGATTTTCCATACTATTTATTTTTTCCTTGCCTTCGATTGTTGACCTAGAATTTTTTATGAAATTGACGAAGAGTGTTTTATTGTAAATTTTTACAAATACAATTACTTTTTTTGCAAATATCGACGAGATTTTACGAACCTGCTACTAAAACGGTAATTTCACGGTTTATCAATTTCTGCTATTAAAAGAACCATGAATGTTTTATCAAAAGTCGAGTTTCGCGTGTCTGGAAACCGCTTTCTAGGCAATAAAGATTTTACTCGAATCGTTAAACAAGATATTTTCTGATTTTTCCAAAATCGCAAGTAATAAAATTTCATGATTCCGTGACGAATTTAATTAGTTGTCAACTATCAATGTTTTCACAATTAATCATAATATGTAAATAACAGATGGATGCACACAAACTTTCTATAAATGCAAATCTATCTGGTAAAATAAAAACTCTCCGTTGCATAATCCATTGACGAGCCTCGTTTCTTAAATGGAAATGAGGTATGTCGAAAACGTCTATTTTATATATATATATAGCCAGACTTTCGTTTAGTGTCAATAGACTCGATCAAATCGTATCAAAGCGTATCATGCAAATGAGATACCATCAATCGCGTCGCGATGCTTCACACTCGAAACCGATCGATCGACCAGACTACATATTTTATTTCCAAATGACTCGAGTGATTCACCACAAAATTACCATAAAAACTTATACGAATCGTGATTTTATCATCTCATCGATAAAATAATCATTCGTAATCGAAACTGTAAACGTTTATACAATTTTGACTTTTTTGAAAAGTCAATGAATTTCATTGGTTCGAAAGATTATCGATCAGAATTAATGTAATTATGTGAATCTTAAGGAACAATAATTTCGTCCTTTTTGCCCATTAAACGCGTCGTTATACACTTCTTCCGTTCACGGTACGAGAGAAATTGAAGGGAGAAATAAAAAAGGCAATTGCTTTACTCGCTTTACTTGTTTCGAACTACTGTCGTGCATTAAACATCCGATAAGGAGAAACTGATCGAAGAAAAAAGCGCTTCGAAGTTGGTCTACTATTGGTTTAAATTTCTTTTACAACTGTTCCTCGAGAGAAACTTTTAAATCCTTATTTTCTATAAAAAATTACGAAATTCGTAATAAAATTCGTAATTGTTAATTATAGAGGATAAAAATCGTAGGTAGAACGTTCGTTTCTGTTAAAATTATTATAAATAATTGCGCAAAATGAAAATTTAACAGAACTATTGCTCGAATTGAACAAATTACCGACGAGCACATTGAAGAAATACTTTGATATTACGGTTTGATAAGAAATCGTTATGCAAACACGTACTGATATCCTGCGCGATCCTGATATTGTTCGTTCTCTTGAAAACTTACCATCTTTTTCGTATTATTCGCGCAACAACTCTTCAGAGGCTGGAAAATGGATACGATGTTCCCAATCCAATAGAGATTAACACGAAAAGATATTGACACGATTACACAACATTTCAAATAATACGTTGGAGATTGACAGGCGTTAATACTTGAAAAGTATTATACGCATTATCGCATTATTGCTATCGTGCTACCGTTGTGATCCCTGTGCACACTGATATTTCGTGGGACCTGAGAAACTGTGTGTACTCTCGTTACAATTGATTGATACGATCCATAGGAGGTACGTGATTGAAACAAAATTGGACGATAAATGAAAAATGAGAGAATCGAAGAGAATCGAAGAAGATCGTATTATTTAATATTATTTTTAACAATGGTAAATTTTAATCAAAAGTACGATAAATAAAAGATGTTCGTTAAAAATAATACGTTTCAATTAATTGTAGACGTTGGTCAATTAAAACCTTTTCCTATCGGGTCGCGATCCATCTATTCGTTTCTATAGTGATGTTCGAGCATTATCAGCTGATTAGCAAATGCGACATATGGCCGTAGTTGGTTTTATTAGATTATCGTACACTTACTTTTTCAACTATAGACCCTTGTTCAACGATATTTTAAGACCGAACATTTTCAGTGAAAGTGGTGAACGGGAAGGACGATAATAATTGGATTTCACTTTCCTTCTTTTTTTTTTTTTTTTTTCCGTTAACAAACTTAGAGGTAAGAAAAAGCTTGATTGTTTCGCGCACAAGTATTTCCATTCGCCAAGACCGCGCCTTCAACCCGATGTCACTCTCTACAACGTAGTTGATCGTGAAATAGTGTGACAGGCGTTACGTTAATTTTTCTTTTTCAAAGCAAAAAACTGAATATTCGCATCGAACTTCTATAGATTTCTTTAAGATTACAATTAAAAATCGTGCATCGATTATAATTTTTCCCGGATAAAAAAAAGTATATAAAACCCTTATCACCGGAGATACAAAAATCAATAAAGTTGAAAATCTAATTCTCGACTTACCGAGTCGCTGTAGTCTATAATTTCTATTCTTTCGACCAAAATCCTCACCAATTTTAATAACACGGCCGCAGAAACTTCGTAATCGTCCTCTTTCCACGAAGGAGAGAGCGTAATCGCCCTAAAAACCTCTAATCTCCTAAACTAGACGACTACATAGCCGTGGCACGCGTCTAATGCATACAAAGGAGAGTGGTGGGGGGTTTAGGTGCCCCTCCGTCGTGATTATGGGGTGAACTGTTGGTACGGTGCCCCATAGATGACGGGCCGCCTCGTGGAGGGGGCAAAATACCCCTCGGGACGGTATATATGCCCTAACAGCCCCATGCCACTTTCGCAGTACCAAATTGTACCCCGCCTGGCACGGTCCCGCCGCGTTTCTTATTTCCTTTTTTTTTTTCTCCCCTCTCCGCTAACGAAACGCTCGGCTATGTCGTGACACGTGAAATTTTACTCATACTCAGTGCAATTGCAGTATTATAACAAGTTTATGTTGAAGTGATCGACGTGCGACGAATTCTGCGAGGATCGTTTATCGGGTAAGACGATTATCGGAATGATGAGTTGCATCTAAATAAATTTGTCCGCGAATCGACACTGGAATTCAATTATATTTTTATTATTCGAAGAATCGACGCTATTCCACTTTCGATCGATCAATTTAAACCGTCCACCAGAGAATAATAAATTTGTGAAACACTTACTTATTCAGGTAAGATAGACGGCTGAAGCATGTCCTCGGAGTACTCGTTCTGCAGCGAGGGAGGTTTCGACGAGCTCTCGAGTTCCTCCGATTCCGGTTTCGACGTGAGCTTCGAATCCCCGAAGCACGAGGCGCAGTCGGACGCCCTGTTCCCGCCTGCCAAGGAGGAGAAACGGAAGAAAACTCGGAACACGCGGTGCAAGAGTCCAACACAGGTAAGTGTCGATCCTCCTTATCTAAGAGATCACCCAAAGAGCCGCGAAGGAGAGAAGGAAGTCGAGAGACGCGGAAGATAAAAGGGAGAAGGATTGAACCATTGATTCGGGCGCAGGTGCTCAGGCTGAAAAGGAATCGTCGAATAAAGGCGAACGATCGCGAGAGGCACAGGATGCACACCCTGAACGACGCGTTGGAACGACTGAGGATGGCGTTGCCAACGTTCCCGGAGGACACGAAGCTCACGAAAATCGAGACCCTCCGTTTCGCCCACAACTACATCTGGGCCCTGTCCCAGACGTTGGGCAACACGGAAACCGGGGAGATCACCGTGAACGTGGGCAACGTGACGGTCAGCATCAGCGAGAATGGAAACATGATCACATCCTCGACAGGAAGTTGCGCGGTTGCCGCGCAGAAGCGGCTCGGCCCGTCGCACGCTGTCTTCCCTTATCCCCAGGAGAGATTCGTGCCCGAATGGCAGGAGTACGATTGCTACAGCGACCAGAGCAGTGTCAGTCCGCCGATGCAGTATCAACCGTGTTACGATCAGAGGATGTACGCACAGCATCAGCTCCCGGCTCCGCATCACATGGGACATAACAACATGTATCAGTGTCTTTAGACAATTTTTCCTTCCTCTTGCTGGAAGTTGGGATTGTTTGGGATAGTTAGATTGGTCGTTTCGAGGGGGGGGAGGATGAGGACCAAGTTTTCAAGATGGTTTGAGTAGATGGATCATGCGAGTAGATTGGTAATTATGCGGTGGAGGAGATGGATGAAGATAGAAAGAATTAATGCGTGTCTGAGCGGGGAGTAAGGATGAATTTTCAGGATTGTTAAGTTTCGAAGCTTCGAAGTGAATTTAGTACTTGCCGAGCAATCGAATTAATTTTGCACCGGTTGTGGAAATATCTGATAAAGAGATTGTCTGTCAAGGTAAAAGGAAAATTTTTTAACGTGTTGATCGGATTAGCATGAGTCATCGGCGCCATTGTACCGTTGGAACGATGCTTCGTTTGTACTCGATACAAGTTGGATTATATGAAATTCTGTCAAGTACTAAAATCTCGATCGAAGCCGAGAACTTGAAAATCAATACTTGAAGACCAAAGAATACTTACACATACATTTAATACAACTAAAACTGTCCATAGTCTAGTGAATTTTCGCGTAGTAAATTTTCCAAAGTTCCAGTGACGTAATAGTATATTGCAATTTACAAAGAACACAAATTGTGTTTTTCATCTGCATATCATCGAACGAAAGTTATTCGAGAATTAATTTCGCGTCGAATTAACGAATTAGCGAGTGTAAAGAAAAAGAAAGAAAGAAAAAAAAAAAGGAATAGGCCAATGCGCAACGTGTTATTTACTTTGTAAGAGAGCATTCTATTCGCAACGAATTACTAGGATTAAGGATTAACGTTAAGTGTGACCGTAACCAAGATTTTCACCTCGATAATCTCGAAAACATATTGGCTACCATTTATTTCTTTATAACCTGTGGAAAAATCGAGACATACACTCGTGCATGATTAGAGACACGTACGTAAATGTCGCGTTCCTTTTCTTTTCTAGTCATCGATGCTCTTACGTTGATCTCGAACGTTTGATCTCACTACGTTTGTTTCTAGAATTATTCTATTTATAGTATACGTCTCCGCCAGTGCTCTTATCGGATCGTGAAACTACCGATTCAGGGAATATATATTGTACAGAATTTATATCTTATCAATAAATCATATTTTACCTAGACACATATATATACCTTTCTTTGCTTTCGCATTAACAACCCGTTTTTACCTCCCACTTTTTTATATCTAAAAAAATCAAGATAATCAAACTTATACGAAAAATTCAAATATCTCGCATTTTTAAAGAACTTTTCTCCAATTTTGAAATATACAAATATACATCTCTTTTGTTAAATAATACAGATAATAAATAATTAATAAAAATCAGATTACCATAAATCGTATTCTTAAGATCTTCGTAATCTTCTGTGCATTGTTCGGTCAACGTCGATCAAATATTTACACACTAGAGAAGAACGAAGAGACGCAAGATCACAGAGAGATAAGACACGCTCTCGATCGCGGACAACGACACGATGAAAAGTGAGATCCGTAAACAAGACAGTTACGGATTATCGTCTTACTAACGAGCATGCTCGAGCCACTTTGCAGGAATGGAGTCCTGTTCAAGAATGAACGGCCACGTGGCAGGACACGTGTCCTTTTGTAGGAATCACTGCGGGGCAGATGTATCACAAAGTTACGCCTAATCCGACGGATCGCAACGAACGTGACTTGGAAAACTTACGAGATCGAAAAATCTAGTAATAACAGTTGTAACCTGTTGTCTCACCTTTTATTCCTGATCTCTCCTTAAATTCGAGTGCACACGTTGCGTCCCCTTTCTATTGGACATTGCAATTTCGCAATTTTCACGCGCGAGCAAATGTTATCGAGAGCGATGGATAAACCGGTAAAGTGTGGAAAAATGTTATCTTTCCATCCTGGATTCAATAGCTCGATGGTTATTTTCGCAGTCTACGCCCCCCTTTCGTTCAGCCTGATCGAACGATCGAATTCGCTATTTATTTTTCTAACATCGTGTCCTGAAAATGAAACACCTACTTCCTCTTCTTCTTCGGTTGATCGATCGATCCTGTAACATGATAATAGAAAAATTTATCGATCCATCTTCAACTAAATAAAAATAATCGTGTCGCGCACGATATTTTTAAGACGGATATTTTTGTCGGTGGATGCGGTTTTACGACACCCTTTGATCAATAATTTCGTATACAAGGCCTATTTGCAAACAAGCTGCAAGCTGCGACGAATCCGTTAGCACGCTCGATCGTTTCCCCAAATCTCGCCAATAATGGTAATGCTTCAATGGAACCATTATGCCGACGACAACGTGTAACTGTGTGCACAACGCGACAGACGGCTACGTTTCGTGAAAGGTGTTGGATTTTGGGGAGATTCAATCAGTTTTTCCACCCCGACGATGCCATAGGGGTTACGACGACGACGACGAAAAATAAGAAATTGGTGAGAATCATCGTTGATTTTCGTAAAACGTAACGATTCAAATGATCTATCCTAAAAGCTGATTTCAAAATTTAAAGATCGATTGAATTCAAATAATAAGAATCGATTGAAAAATAAGAAGAAGACGAAAAATTGAAGCAAATATACTCGCTATATTTCTACGACGATCGAAACGAACAATGGCACAGCCTCTCTCTCACAGCTTAAACAAAGATTGGACGAGGAATTTTTTACAGGCCATAAACGTCGCTGCCTGCATTTCGAAGCGCAGTGATTTCGCTTTGATCGACCTTTCGTTGGCTCGTTTCCGTCGAGTGCACATATCGATCGCGTGCAAGGCCCTCATTGTGCCGGGGCGCTGGTCTGTACGGTGACATACTGGTGGCTGACAGAGGTGCACCCCTGTGGAGAGAAGGGGCCTGAAGAGGGGGTATAGTGGCACGGGTAGGAAAAAGGGGGAGTACGGGTTTTCCTAATTCATGAAAATTCGTGAAATTACCTTGACCGATCGGTGAACACTTAATCGAAGATAAATGGCCGTGATTCTTCCACCAAGCGGAACATCCCTTCCGATGGAATGATTGTTCGACTCCGTTGAAAGGTGTCCGACAAAATGGAAAAAGTCGAAAGTTTATATTTAAGAGAACGTGGAGAAACGTCGTTGTACGACTGCTTTCGAGAGCTCTGACTCTATGCTTGATTGATGATGATCGATATTCTCGATCGCTTGATTTTCGTGATTGATGAGATATTTGAAGTGGAAAATGAATACAATTTGAAGAATTCTCATTCGATTTGAATAATTTATTATGCGAATAATAAGTTGCAATTTATTAAAAATTAATTCTCAGCTGCACACGACACGATTCGAATTAATGACGAACACAAAGACGATCTCGACCGAGAAACGAAACCACCCCCGATCCCATTTACCCCGAAACACTGTGGACAGACAACGCGGGGTGTAAAAAGAAGATTCAGACAAGCATCTTTCGGCATCGTATTTCGGCATCTGTTTAGATCGCAGGGGTAGCCAGGCTTTTCACTGCAAGTTGGCATTTGCAGGCCTTTGTGGTAAACCAACGAACAATGCCTGTTAGACCGCTACGTCATGGAGCACACCCCGCGAACACACCATCAACGTCTATTCCACTTTCTTTCCTCTAGCACGCTAAAATATGGAAAGCCTTATTTGAGCTAGAGATCGACGCCCTTGCCCGGAATAAATTGAATTAATGAGAACGAGAGTTGATTGTTAAGCTCTTTCGAGAGATAGTATTGGAATCGTGTCCTTGATCTAATCGTGTGAAATGGAAAAAAACAAGTTGTGAAGGATGAAATTGTTACAAGTTTGTTTTCCTTGAAACAATTACATCTATCCATATTTATTAATAGATTAAATAACATTTATGAATAAGATCAATAAATCGATGAGTCACGAATTGTAATATGAACATTTTTTCCCCCATGTTTTTGCAATTTAATAATTTGTCAATTTACATTCTAAATTTATAAAAGAATTTTTCAATAGAAATAATTCGATCTGCGATTTGACAGAATATTCCGCGTCGATCGTACACTTTTACGGATGGGAAAGAGACTTTCCTTAAAAAAAATAAAAAGATATATAAGAAAGATTAGAATAAGAAGAAATTTTTGAGGGAAAGACCCGATTTCGATTCTTTAATAAGAACTTGACAACAACTGCCGCGAATCTACACGCCATGGTTTGACTCTCGCGATAGAAATATAGGGGACAGATGTCTACGGGGGGCAGGTGTAGCCCAATGTACGCGTGCCAACCAACCCCCCACTGCGCTGCCATTCAAGACTATAATTTACTTGAAGAATGCCCGAGCCAGCCAGGCATTCATCCCGGAATGACGTGGATTACTGGTCCAACGAGTCCTCCAAAGTCGATCGGGAATCATCGACAGAACGATCGGCGATAACGTTAACGACCCCTTTGCTTCACTGTTGCAACAAACAATTTTTTTTTCACGTGACACGTGGCGACAAAAGATTTTTTTAACCGTTCGTTCCTTTATATTTTCCAAATATAATAATAATAATAATAATAGTAATATTCTGTAACATAAAATTTTGATTTCTATCTTTAGACTTCCATTTTTTTTTTTTTTGAATTTTTTCGTTTATACATTATTTCTATATCGAATTTCTTCTTCTTATTATTCGAAATATTTTTTGAAATTAATGAATGGACGATATGGTAATTTTTTTTTTGTATAAGTAAATTCGTTTAAAATATAATGCGAAGATTTGTTTACGGGGATTTTCTTTCTGTTTAATATACTCTGCATCGTTCATTAACGACATCAATCGGTCTAACGCTCAGCCTTTAATCACATGTAAAACCGGGATTAAAACCAGAAGGATCGCTGGACAAATCATTGATTTAACGTCATTGTGAAGCATTCGTAAGAGAGCGCGTTTTATTGGGCTTGTAGGGTGAGCTTAGGCAGGATTACAATCTCCCTGAAAATACATTTGATCTGAGGATTTATTCCGCGTTTCAATTGTATCTAACTCGAAAAAATTGCACGCATCGAACGCATTTACACACACGCATATACGTGTATATATATATATATATAATAACAAATTGAAAATTACAATTTA